TAAAGTTTATTATTTATTTTGAGAGAGAAAGAGAGTGCACACAAGAGGGCAGAGCAGGGGAGGGAGAGAGAATCTTAAGCAGGCTCCATGCCCAGCATGGAGCCTGACACAGAACCCAGCGTCACAAATCGTGAGATCATGACCGGGGCCAAAATCAACAGTGGGACAATCTACTGAGCCACCCAGGCACCCCTAAACTAGTAGTATTTTAGATATGTTGGATTAAATAAGAGATTTTATCAAAGTTAATCTCAGCTGTTCCTTGGCACCTTTTGAGTGTGGCTACTAGAACATTTAAAATCACATGTGTGGCTCAGCTTTCCAACTGGGCAGGGCGGTTCCTGACCACACCAGTGTTGTGCTGGATGCCAGCTCCCTGTGGGCTCTCACCTCACCAATGCCTCTCACAGGGGCAATCTCCATGAAGGAACACGGGCTGAGTGCGGCTGAAATCAGATCAGAGCTCTGGAACCTTCAGAACTCACGCGACACTGGAGACCAGTCCAACCTGCCACTAAGAGCAGCTTCTGAAATAAAATGTGGATGAGTGCAACTCTATTTGAAACTCTGGCCGGGATACCCCTGAACCTGGGAACGCCCTCCAACGCAGTTCCATCACCAGGGAGACATTCGGGAGTCTAGGCCAAGGCCTGCAGAGGCACAGCCAGGGCTCTAGTTCCCAGAGATGGGGCCATTTCCTCTCACCTTGCTGCCGCCCAGAGATGCTTCTCAGTGATCTGACATAAAGGAATCAATTGCAACACTGAATTTATTTCGTGCAGGATTCTGCATAATATATTGACCACAGGACACTGGAATTGCTTTTCCAGGGAAGGCCTTTCCCTCCCTCTCTGGATTCCCCCCACCCCCACTGCCCACATTAACACACACTTCCGCCCTTCTCAAAGCACCATTACAGATGTTTATTTGCAGAGGCAACATGGGCACATTTGAATGCTGGGCTATATTGGAGTGTTTTGCTGCCCTGCAATACAACCCGACCACTAAAAAAGCACAGGCACTGAACCTGTGACAAAAACATCATCTGACTACCGGGTCAGTGGGGAGTGGAGACTGATGTGTCCTAAATCGGGCTGCCTCGGCTGCTGGGTGTGACAGGAAGTGAGCAAACTTAGGCATTTGAGAAGAGGTATGAGGCCTGGTTGTCATGGCATCGATGACATCTTTGGAGGCCAGAGCCACATCATGGGTGTCTGTGGCCTGACTCCTCCATCCCAGTGTCCAGTACACAGCAAGTGCTCAACCCTTGTTCATCAGAGAGAAGAACTGATTACAGAATACTCGGGCCTCCTGGATCCTGGGGTCCACATATCCTGAGGAGAATGTAGCCCTGTACTAGCTCTAGTCAGGCCTTGGTGTTGCTACAGGCGGGCCTGGCGCCCACGGCAAAGCTGTGGTGTCCTCCTGTGGAACATCAACAATTTCACAGAACTCCATCAGATACAACTACTCTGGGACTAGAATGGATGAAGACAAAAGCCAGATGGCTCCACAATTACATCTCAACACGACAAAAATGGAACATTGTCCAAATCACAGCAAGTACCAGACATCTCCATACTCTGGCTGCTTCTTTAGCAGTCCCAGATTTTTAGCCTCATGCTTCTTACCTTCTCGGTAAAAATGAAAATACTCGAACACAGAACTTTCCTGCTTCCAATCCATTTCAATCCAACCCGACCCAATTCAGAGCAGAGCCCCGCTTCCTTGAGCACGCCTACAGAGCACCAGACACAGACCCAAATCCCCTAGGCCCCAACAGCCTCTGACTGAGACACCCCACAGCCCTGCCTGGCATGTGACTTCCCTAATTCAACGGGTCGATAAAACCAGCTCTGTTCAACCATGCGTTCCTGAAAGAGTCTTTGGCTAAAGGGAACTAACAATCCTTGGCCACAAACACCCTTTCCCAGGCGAGTCATGCTGCTGGTTGCCACTGTGCCTACCTATTCCCCAGGCCTGGAAAGGAGAAAAGGGAACAAGCACAGAGGACAAGAAAAGTCAATGGTGGTAGATGAGGAGGACTTCTCCAAAGTGCACTTTCCCATGGCCCATCCTAGGTTGGTGCAATGCTCTGTTCCTTTCTGCCATTAAAGAAAGCTCATCCAGAAACAGAAATTAATATTATAGGATGACTCATGAGCCTACACACACACACACATCATTTCATTAACTTCAGTCTTTTAACAAATTACTTGTGGGCCAAGGTGCAAATGATGGACGCAAGCATTAAGGAATACAAACTATTCAGAGTCCTACAACCACTTGAATTAGAAGTAAGGCCTGGAGCCAGTTAACGCTGGCCTGCCTTCCAGTGTATGACCTGAACAAGTTAAGCCAAACTTCAGTTTTTCACTCTGCAAATTACAAGGACACACACCATGAAGCTGTTGCACGGTTAACAGGGCAAAGGCCAAGAACAGCACCTGGCACAAGGGGAGTAGGGGGCTGTCACCGTCGGCCCATAACTGCTTTTCCCACCTGCTGGCCCACCTCTTCCCCACTGTGCTGACAATTCCTTCCCATCACTTGCTGCATCCTGGCATTCCTCAGTCAACCTGCTGGGCTCATCCACCAGGGCGGAAGCATCTAGAGCATGAGAGCGGTCTTACTAGGAATTGCCGTGTGATAGGAACTCAGAAAAAGGTGGGTATATGAACCAAACTTTATGAGCTCTAGCTGAAACCAAAATTGAAGAGGTCTCACTCAAATGCAAGTGATTCCCCCCCTCTGAGGCCTCCCGGAAGTGTGGCAGCTTAACTCGGTTACATCCTTTCCCAAATGCCAAACCTGCAGGTGGCCCTGTGCCCCTTGGATTCATCATGTGCCTGAAACTTTTTCCATCCGACGTATCACCTGCAAGACTACATTTCATTACAATTTTATGGAAGAATCTCCAATCAAAATTGACCTGTAGAACAGAGCACTCTGTGTGTGCCTAAAAGCACAGCAGATGTCTTGTTTACCTCAAGAGAAGGGAAACCTCAGTAACTCCCTGGAACTGCAGTCTGGCCACAGGTGTGAGCGCCCCTGAAACCCACTGAAAATGTCCACGGGATGTGGAGCGTACCGGTGGCTTTCAGACACCGCCATTGACTTGGTTATCTCTATCCCTAAATTTAACCCGTGCCAGAAGAGCTTCAAAGGATTTCAAAAAACTGGTTCTATCAAGTCTTCTCAGCTAAGATCTGGTGCCTGTTTGTGCAAAACTCATCATCTAGTCCAGAACAGGCTTGAAGAAAACTAAAGCACTCCTAACAATAGGTTTCCTTAGAAAGCATGAGGCAGCCACTTTTATAGAGCATCCCGGGGCACCTGGGTGGCTGTCAGTTGAGCCCCCAACACGTGATTTCAGCTGGGGCCCATGGTCCCAGGGTCGTAGGACCGGGCCCTGTGTGGGGCTTCATGCTGAGGGTGGAGGCTGCTTGGGATGCTCTCTCCCTCTGCCCCCTCCCCAGCTTGCACTCTCTAAAAAAAATAATAAACTAAGAAAAATAAAAATAAACAGCACCTTAAGAGCAAAGAAAGAGAAGGAAGTCAGCAAGAAAAAGGGCCTCTTTAATGCTGGTTCTGTTCACTTTTGTTGCGCTAAGAGGTTTAGCAGGAACTGAGAGGCCAGCTTGGTAGTTATGATCCAAGCTTCAGGGCCCGGGGGTAGGCTGAAGGAGATGGCTGTTCCGAGTCTCGTGCAGGGCAGCACAGGGGAGACGAAGGCCATGGGCCTCAACACTTAGCGGGCTGCCTTCCTCAGTCCCATCCATAATCACCTCTCCCTGTCTGTGAGGCTTTCTGGCAGTTTGCTGCTCACTGGGCACATGGCCTGAAGCCTGGTGGGGAGAACAAAGAGAATACGGGGAACCCACTTGATGCTTGTCAGCTTCTGCGAAACAAAGTCTAACAGATTGGGGATCATTCGTGACTTTTGTTCAGCTGAGTTATCTTCTATTAACAAGGAAAATAATGTTTGAAAAAGGTCTATGGCATAAAAATGACGTCTAGCTCTCTCAGAAATAAAGGAAATATTAATCTAGTCTTTGGCTCATGATTTCTCGAGTGAATTCCACCCCTTATCAAAAATCCATTGTAAACTGGTGAGCAAAACTGATACCTATTTTACTATAAAACAAGTGCAAATAGGGGCGCCTGGGTGGCTTAGTCAGTTAAGCGTCCGACTTTCGCTTAGGTCATGATCTCACGGTTCATGGGTTCGAGCCCCGCGTCGGGCACTGTGCTGACTGCCAGCTCAGAGCCTGGAGCCTGTTTCAGTCTGTGACTCCCTCTCTCTGACCCTCCCCTGCTCACGCTGTCTCTCTCTCTCTCCTAGAAAGAAATAAAACATTAAAAAAAAGAAACACAAACAAGTGCAAATAGTAAAGACAAAGAGTCACGATGGCACCATACAGTTTTATTTCAACCCTCAATCGGTACAAGGAGAGGACAGCTTCTGATGCCCCAGGCAGGTAACCATAAAGGAACAGAAACAATAACAAAAAGACATTGATTTAAAAGTATTTCACATTTCACAGCAGTGCTTTGGCAGTACTGGCAAGTATTTCTGGCCAATTGCTTCCCGCAACGGGGGTCTGAGAAAACCCCAGATCTTAGCAAAAGAACCACATTTTCTCCCTGACAGTTGACGCTCTGAGTCGCTTTATACCACACCGCTCCACTCGCCAGCTTCTGTAAACCTCACCTTAACATATGCTATCTAAGTGTTGGACGTGATCACAACACAAACTAAAGACAAGATGGTGTGGTAGAAAAGTAAACTCCAGTGTTTCCAGTAAGGCATCAGGGAATCACTGCTGGCTGGGCCCTTCATTCCACCAGCTTAAAGAAAAGTTTCGATTTACATTTCTCGGCAAACCCAATATTCAGAAGCTTTACCAGCAGACTCAAGTTAAAAGTTTAAAAGACAGTTCCCCTTTTTTTTTTTTTTGTAAATGTTTCATATAAAACATGAAATCAAGTTCTACTTTATTAAAAAAAACTGAGTATTTTTAATAGTAAAAATATATATGTTTATATTTCTCTTTTTAAAAAGACATTAAATAACAATACTTCAGAAGACTGGATTTCACCCCCCCCGCCCCCCACCCTGCCAGCGGTCTATCTGGCACAGAGACATTAAGGCAAAGGCTCCTGGAGAGGCATGTCCTCCTCAGCTGTGCGTTGGGGACTCAAGGGGAACACACTTCGCTCCTGCACGGTCAACAGAAAGGCTTCTCCCTCATGTTCACTGAGCCATCCTGCATCCCGAAGTAGACTCTCTCAGCCATGTTAATGAAGAGGCCTGTGTCCACCACGCCTGCAGGATGAAGGATGAAAATAAGCATTAAGTTTCAGCTTCCCAAGGCAAGAAGAGTCAAGGATCGTAGGGTCAGTAGGAGCAACTACTGTCAGCAGCACTGGACAAATGACAGGTCTGAAGTCTTTCCTTTCCCAGAACAATGAAAAGAGATTCTTATCATTTTTATTTCTTCTATCTTTTCTCCCCTACCATCTTTCTATACCCAATGTGCCAATTTTGACCTGCCTCAGGGCCTTTGCTCATGCTATTCTGCTTGCTGAACTAGTCATCTTTGAGCACTTCAAGGGGATGGTTCTTCAGATATCAGACGACCCCTCCCCTCTGGCAACCACTAGTCTGCTTCCGTTTTTTTCTTTTTCCGTTTGTTCATCTGTCTTGTTTTATAGATCCTACATGTAAGTGAAATCATACGGTATTTGGATTTCACTTAGTATAATATCTCTAGGCCCATCCACATTATTGTAAATGGCAAGATCTCTTTCTTTTTTATGGCTGAGTAACTTTCCATTGCACATATACACCAAATCTTTATCCATTCATCTCTCAATGGACACTTAGGTTGCTCCCATAGCTTGGCTGTTGTAAACAATGTTGCAATAAACATGGGTGCATATACCTTTGCAAATCAGTGTTTTCATTTCCTTTGGATAAATGTCCAGTAGTGGAATTACTAGATCATGTAATAGTTCTATTTTTAATATTCTGAGGAACCTCCATATTGTTTTCCATAACAGAAGCACCAATTTACATTCCCACCAATAGAGCATGAGGGTTCCCTTTTCTCCACATCCTCACCAACATTTGAGTTTTTTTTTTTAACATTTGTTATTTATCTTTTTGATTCTAGCCATTCTGACAGGTGTAAAATGATATCTCTTTGTGGTTTTGATCAGCATTTCTATGATGAGTGATGCTGAGCATCTTTTCATGGTGACTGTCAGCCATTTGTATGTCTTCTTTGGGAAAATGTCTATTCAGATCCTCTGCCCCGTTTTAATCAGATTATTAGTTTTTTGTGTTGAGTTTTAGTAAGAGTTCTTTATATATTTTGGATATTAACTCCTTATTGGATATATCATTTAGAAATATGTTCTACCATTAAAGTAAGCTGCCTTCTCATTTTGCTGATGGTTTCTTTTGCTGTGCAAAAGCTTTTCAGTTTGATGTTGTCCCAATAGTTTATTTTTTGCTTTTCTTTCCCTTGCCTTGGGAAAAAGATCCAGAAAAAATGTTGCTAAAGCCAATGTCCAAGAGATTACTGCCTATGTTTTCTTTAAGGAATTTCATGGCTTCAGGTCTCACATTTAAGTCCTTAACCCACTGTGAATTTATTTCTGTGTGTGGTATAAGAAAGTGACCCAGTTTCATTCTTTTGCATGTAGCTGCCTAGTTTTCCCAACACCATTTATTGAAGAGACTGTCTTTCTCCCATTGTATATTCTTGCCTCCTTTATCATAGGTTAGTGCTCGCTTCGGCAGCATGTATACTTTACCGTAGGTTAACTGACCACAGATGTGTGGGTTTATTTCTAGACTTTCTATTCTGTTCCATTGATTGGTGTGTCTCTTTTTGTGGCAGTACCAATCCGTTTTGATTACTACGGCTTTATAATATAGCTTGAAATCTGGAATACCTGCAGCCTTGCTCTTCTTTCTCAACATTGCTTTGGCTATTTGCACTCCCAGTTATTTTCCATCACACTATCAGCCTTAGAAGTCTCCCCCAGAGTTTAAGAAGACATTTGCAATGCATATATCCAACAAACGACCCACATCAAAATATATAAACAATTCTCCCAATCAATAAGACAAAAAACCTAGTAGAAAAATGGGCAAAAGACTTAAAGAGGTACATTACAAAAGAAGCTATATAAAATGGCCAATGGACATAAAAAGTGATGCTCAAACTAATTAATTAGTCAAAAGAATGCAAATATGAACATAAATGAAATTTGACTAGAATGCAAAGACACTTCCACTCACTCACAGTGGGAGGAAATTGGCAAAATCATTTTGGAAAACATCTGTTAATACATCTTCTAAAGCTGAACATAGTCATACCTAACGATCCAGCAATTCTACTAGGTACATATGCAATTGTTAGACACACATGTGGTCATCAAAAGACATGTATGAGAATATTCACATCAGCACTTTTTCTAATAGCCTAAAACTGGAAACACCTGAATGCTCATCAAGAATAGACTTGCTATACACACACTTTTTTTCGTACACATAAATACAATGGAATACTATTCCGTGATGCGAATTAAATGTATGCAACATTTACCAAAACTTTTTACCTACATACACATCTACCACAATGAGATAATACTGTTCAACTATCAGGAAAATAAAGTTTGATGAATGGGTATGTAGGGAAAATCGTTAGAAGGGCAAATTGGTACGATCCATGGAGGGCAATTTAGCACCATCTAAGACAGGAAAAGATGGAGGGAAAGAAGGAAGGGACTTTTCACTGCTTACTCTTGTATGTTGAACAATGTAAATTAAAATGAATTTTAAAATTAAAACTTTGCAAGAGGGCCTCCAATACATACATAAACAAAATCATCTATCAGTGATGACAAGCCACCAAGCAAGAGAGCGAGCTTCTGAAACCCAGAGGTCCCTGGCACAGCACTGTACCAACACCCCTGAAGCCGCCCAAAGGAAACAAAGTGGCCATGTAAGACCCAACAATTCTGTAATACAAGGTGACAGTTTCCTCCTGGTCCAAGAAAAGTCAAACCAGGTTCAGAAAAGGCTTCAAAGAAAGAGTAGAGATGAATGTCAGGAGTTGAAGATCTGATCTCAGAGCATCCTTGCTCAGGCTACTGACCACGCCCCAGTGGCAGAAAGGGCAGAGATGGCTCACTGTGAGCACAGTGTCCGTGACCTTTGGCCCTTCTACAGAGCTCTGTGCTCTAGGTGGAACCCAATGGAACATCCAACAGACAGAGTGACCAGCTAAGTACCAGTCCAGCTGTCCTCTGAGTATCCTCACACACACACGTACACGGGCAAGGGGAGGGCAAGGCAGGGCAGGGCAGGAGGAACAGACAGGGAACCCTGCCCTCTTCCCTTCCCTGGGTTTTGGTTTAGCAGTTAGTACCCTAACAGACCAAATGAGGGAAATAAGAGAATGGGAGGAGGCAACAAGCCACATCGATGCTTCTGGTGGCATCGTACTGAAGGATTTAACATCTAGCCTCTCTTTTCTCATTTTCTTTGGTTTAAGGGTCTACTAAGATTCTGAACATCTCTAGGCTGTAGCTTCTACTTAATGAGGCAGAGGGCAAATATAGGAGAAACTTCCTCAAGAATGACAGCTCCATGTCTCAGTAAGTCAAGAAAGATCTGAGCAGGAGCAACAGAGCCCCCTAGTGGGCACTGCAAGAAATGCACCTGCAGGAACCAGGCCCACACTGGTGAGTGGCTACTACACCGCCCCATGGGCTTATCTGCATTATCATCAGGGGCGATTGCTCCCACTTTACTAACAGTGACTAGTGACCTCTACATCCTCTCTTCCTCTTGCTCTATTGGCTCATTACAAGCTCAAAGACTGTCAAAGTCTAAAACAGCAGACTAAAGTAAGAATAATTAGCTCCTGAGGCACCTGGGTGGCTCAGTTTGGCATCCAACTTCGACTCAGGTCATGATCTCACAGTTCATGAGTTTGAGCCCCACGTCAGGCTCTGTGCTGACAGCTCAGAGCCTGGAGACTGCTTCTGATTCTGTGTCTCCCTCTCTCTCTGCCCCTTCCCTGCTCTCTCTCTCAAAAATAACATTAAAAATTAAAAAAAAAAAAAGGATAATTAGCTTATTACATGGCTTTTATTGACACCACTTTCATTCCTAAATAGCATGGATAACTTAGAACCCAGGATGTTTAATTAATGGTGACGATACTATCCTTTCTTCCTGGAGATTTATTCATTCAACAAACACTCCCTTATGTGCTAGGCACCATTTTAACACATTTAATCCAACAATCTTATGAAGTAGGCACTAACACTAGCTTCTTTTACAGAGAAAGAAAGGAGTCACAGAGACGTTAACTAACTGCACAAAGGCACACTGACAGAGTGAGGCTGGGTAGGAACCTGATCCAGGCAGCCTGAATCTAATCCTAGCCACTACAATCTGCTAAAGTGACCTTACCTGCCCCATTAGCCAGTTCTGGCTCAAAAACATCCTATGCCATGGAACAGTCCTAGTCAGAATCTTAGTCTCTCAGTACCATATGATGTTTCTCACACCTGCTTCCTGTATCTGATCCCCTTGTACCCTTCAATACTTCCTCTGGCCTGCGGGCAGGACTCCCTTCCACACTGTCCTCCCTCACCCCCCAGCCCTACACAGGGCCCCAGATCCCTGCTACAAGCAATAGAGGCTCTCCCACGCCAGTGTTCATGTCACAGACACCCCTCTTCAACCTGGCACTTGAGGAAGTAAGGACTAAAGGTTCAGAGTCTAGAAGTAAACAACCCAGGGCCCCCTCTTGCCCCTGCAGCCCTTAGGCAAGTTGTTGAACCTTCCCTGATCCCTGTCCTCCTCTCCAACTATCTGAGCCAACTGGAGGATCTATAACCACTTTGTGCAATGTCTAGATTACACTATTCTGCTAAGGCAGAGGTTAAAAGCCACCTCTCTTCCCTGGAACTTCCCACATTCTCCAAAGGAATCAACCTGTGCACACTCTAGACTCTTGGTATTTCTCTAGCAAATGTAGCACATTCTACCTTATCTGTAGGCGTGGCTTCTACACAGCCACACACAGCTGTCCCCAGGTATACATGAACTTTCCTTGAGAAAAGATTCATGTTCTAGAAATGGGGGCATTCCCTGTAACATGCAGCATAGCACCTGGCCTGTGGTAACTAATAAGTGTGGGTGAATGGAGTCATTTTCCCCACTGCTTAAGAAGAAAGCTCACAAAATCAGAGAGGCTACAGTTAGGCTTCTGGAAGGGAAGCTCTCTCCATAGGGGGTGTGCTTATTTCAAGCCGACCCCCTCTGACACTCCATCAGCTCCAGGCCTATCCCAACTGGAATGGGCTGGAATGCACAACCAACAAAGCTGCTAGGTAGGCAAGAACTATTTGGGGGGTAGGGTTGGAGAGCAAAGGCATGAAGTCAGAAACTCCAAGCAGGGTACAAAGGAAATTCTTCTTTCCAACCAAGTCTTACAAAACTCCACACCTCTCGTGCCTCCTACGGTCAGAGGTGGGAAACAGTTACGAAGTACTTGGGTGTCTGTGCTCAATGAACACCACTCACATTACCTGGGATCATTTTGATAGCTGTGTTCACTTCACTCCATTTGTGCACCCGATCAAACTTCCAATCTAGGATAAAATTTCCATTATCCGTCACCACAGGACCCTAGAAGGAAATTTTCCACATTTACAAAGGATATAGACATATGTAGGTGGAGAGGGGCAGGTAAGTGAAGGCGATGCCCAAAGACAAGTATCTTAATTAACCCACTCCAGGGGCACCTGGGTGGCTCAGTGGGTTAAGCGACCGACTTCAGCTCAGTCATGATCACATGGTTCGTATGTTCGAGCCCCGCGTTGGGCTCTGGGCTGACGGCTAGTTCAGAGCCTGGGGCCTGCTTCAGATTCTGTATCTCCCCCTCTCTCTCTCTCTGACCCTCCCCTGCTCACGCTGTCTCTCTCAGAAATAACTAAAACATTAAAAAAATTTTTAATTAACCCGCTCCAACCAGTACCCTCACTTCATGCTTTCTAGAAGGCAGTGCTCTGAAGTAATGAGCAGGAGCTCTGGAGTCAGAATTTGAGTCCTGAAGCTACAGAGGCATAGAGGAGGCTCAGAAGAGCCATTAGCCTCTGTGAGCCTCAGATTCCTTAACTACAAAAAGGGGACCATGATATATAGTTCATAAGGCAGTTATGTACAAACCATATGGGTAAGCATTTACCACAGTGAGGGCTCACAGTAAGGGTTCAATAATTCTCAGCTATTGTTAGAATGAAAAACTACAGCAAGAGACCATCAACACAGGGCAACATTCTCACCACTTCACATCAAGTGCCGGGTAATGCAAAATAAGGCAATGCTATCGCACCCATGGCTTCCTGAAGCAGGTGCTCCCACCAAAACAGGAAGCAGAGATGGGTTCTGGGGTCAAAAAATACAGGTTGTATACAACTTGTCTGTGTGACTTGTCATGCATTTCTGCCCAGAGCTGCACATACACACTCATGGGGGGGCTTAGTTGGCTTGTGTTCTGTATCTGGCCTCTGGATCAGAATTGGCCCTTCTGTTCCTGGTGCCTCACATTCCTCCTGGAGCCAGACCTGGCTGGTCCCCTGGGATGGATCTGGGAGGGAAGAGGAACAAACAAACGCCCAGGCTCCTAAGACTGTGAGAGATGACAAGAGAAAAACCCCAGCTTGCTCAAGACTACATGTAGGCAAACTTGATGACTAACCACGATCACACACGGATGGATCTCTCTCTAATGCCCTGGGGGGAACAGCTAGTTGGAAACCTTACCTGAGGGAGGACCCTCAATTGGGACTCCAACCGGGCTGTTCACTGTGGGGCCTCCCCAGCCAGAAGATTGGATGTTGTGAGTACCTGATTTGATGTATTAACCCTTCTTTATCTTTCTCTGTACTTCTCTTCCTCTTTATGTTTACTATAATTGTTTAATTCCATATATTCCCTTTCCCTTATAATTAATAAAACTTTCCTCCATGAAACAGAAAGTGTGGCTATCGTGAATTACAAGTATTCAGAACAGGGGGGCATTTTACTTAATCCAAAATTCCTCACAGCTTTGGGCCCTAGAAGGCATTTGGGAACAAATGTTGCCAGAGCACTACAGTCACAGGCAAGGAAACCAGGCCTCCCTGTCGATAGAGGGGGAGGGGTGGGAGTTCAGTGAAGAGCCCCACGAAGGCAGGAGGCTGGGGCTCTTGTCTGGCATCACCGCAGCGGTGACAGAGGACTTCCAACAGTCTCCTCCAGGCTCTTCTGCTACAAGGGGAACCACACTCTGCACAACCACTAGGATTAGGGACACAAGACACCAGGAAACAAAAAAATACACCAATATAAAAATTCCTCACAGTAGAGTTACAGATGATTTTTTTCCTGTATCTTTCAAACTTGTTATACAGTTATGTCAATACCTACACTTAGTTTTTGGGCTATTACTTTTGGTTGTTTGGTTATTTAAGTGTAAGAGGAAAAAAAAAGTTCTATGCAGCCCACTTTCAAATCTGAAGAGAAACATTTTGCCCTAAGTTTCTGGAGCATATTCATAGGGTACGGTTCATATCCCTCAAGAAACTCAAATTCTTGTCACATTTAATAAGAGATTAAAATAAGAGGAAAAAGAGAAAATTACACTATGAAACCTGAAACACTTCCTGCCTTGTGTGGGGGGCTTCCCAAAGCACACTTTTAGCTGCTGTTAATCATGGTGGTCCAGGCCGCAGGTGCAAAGGTCAGATCACCTGAGGATCATCAGACCCCAAAGGACAGAAAGACAGACTCACCTCCCTGCTTGTACAGAGGACACGCACTGCATTAAGTATAGCCTTCTCTACACGAGTTTGAATACAGTGACTAGTAAAGCCAGTACTCTAAAAATAAACCAATAACCTGATTAAGAAGAAATAAAAAGCTGACTACCCAGGCTAGGCACAGAGGATCTAACGGAAGCACATTGAGAGCCTGGAATGCCCCTGAGAAGCCTCCCTGGCCACTTACTGCCTTGTTGATGGCCATCCGAAGTTCAATCACGCCCCCAAACTTCTGGGTCACAGCACGGCTCACTGGGACATAAGCCATTGGGATGACCTCAATGGGGATTCCCTTGTGCCACTGATCCCCAAGGTTCTTTGAATCTTTTCTGTAAAAGTAAGTAAAAAAGTACAATAAATATAAATAAGCTCAATGACACAGATAAACACCGGATCCAGACATAGTAAGAGGGCAAGAGACATGAGCACAGACAAGGACACAGGGCTTCAAATATATTGGCTATAGTTTACTATTTAAGTAATGAGGGATTTGAAGTAAATACGACAAAAATGTTAAAAGTGGATATGACTGGCTTGTGATTATACAGGTGTTCATTATTTATATTCTTTCTAAAGCTACAGTATCTTGTAAGTACACACAATTTTCTTTTTAATTAACAAGCTCAGCATAAGCGCCTTCAGATTCCTTGAAGGACAATCTGAGAGCCTGGTCAAACACGATACACAACACAAGTCACACGTGGGCCCAGAGGAAGCAGGTGTGCTGAGTCACTGCCCATGGGCAAGGCCTATCTTTCCTGAGGCTCCCTGCAAGGATTAAATGAGTGGTATATGAAGACGTGCTCTTGTCACAAGAGTGACAAGCTGTTAAGCTGTTTGTTTCCTCCTCCTTCCAATGGACACGTCACAGAACAGTATCTCCCTTCAGCATGAAAACAAAGCAAAATCCAAGACATGGCCCTAAGTCCTAGCCATCAAGTCTCAGAAAGCCACAGTCCCTCCAGTTCTCCATTTCCTCCTCTATAACATGGGGACAAGGCCTGGTGTCTGATCTACCTCCTCAGTGGACAGCTCAGAACACTGAACAATGTACCTGAAGTCGGCAATCACGATGAAGCGACTGGCATAGCCAGCCACAATTTTCTCCTGGGTCAGGCAGCCTCTGGGGATGGGAAGAGGCAAATGAACACAAGGTAGGACACAAACTCAATTTGAAAACTAATGTCAGATACAGGAAACCCAAATCCACTTAATGAGAAACTTAATTTTCGATTCTTAAAGGAAGATCCCCAACTCCATCATGCTGTGCAACAGACTGAACTGTGTCCTTCTCAAATTTCATATATTGAAGCCCTACCTAACTCGAAGATGTACTTGGAAGAAGGGGCCTCAAAGGAAGTAATTGTGGTTAAATGTGTCATAAAGGCAGGGTCCTGCGTCTGCCAGGACTAGTGTCCTTCTAAGAAGAGACACCAGAGAGCTCACTTGTTCTCACTCCACCCTGTGAGGGCACCATGACAGAGCAGCCAACAGCATGCCAGAGTCTCCAGAACTGTTGAGAAATGTTTGCTGAAACCCCCAGTCTGTGGCATTTTGTTAAGGCAGCCCGAGCTACAAAATGGACTATGAAAGCGTGAGCCTGGGCCTGGGAGGAATGGCTCCCAGTCAGGTCAGGCACAATCCCTTCTAAGATGCAGCTGTGCTCAGGGAAAAGTCATCTGAGCAGGGCATGAATGGAAGGGCCTATGACTTGAGGACAAGCTGTGAACAACCTGTCCTGTCCACTACCTGCCAGGTGGGGGCGATGAAGCAGAGAGAGCACGGTGAAATTCTTAACATACTTTGTGTCACTCACTCCAGTCTGCTCCCTGCCAAACAGGCCTTCACCTTCTTCAACTCACCATTTCCTACCCTCTGTATCAACATCGAAGAAACACCCAGGGGTACCTGGGTGGCTCAGTCAGTTGAGTGTCTGACTTTGGCTAAGGTCATGATCTCAAGGTTGGTGGGTTCAAGCCTCGTGTCGGGCTCTCTGCCGTCACCACAGAGCCTAGTTCGGATCCTCTGTCCCCCTCTCTCTTCTGCCCCTCCCCCGCTAGTGCTCACTCACACACTCTCTCAATTTAAAAAAAAAACAAAACATTCAAGAAATACTTTCCAGGGGTGCCTGGGTGGCTCAGTCAGTTAAGTGCCTGACTTTCGCTCAGGTCATGATCTCATGGTTCATGGGTTCGAGCCCTGCGCTGGGCTCTGTGCTGACAGCTAGCTCAGAGCCTGGAGCCTGTTTTGGATTCTATGTCTCTCTCTCTCTGACCCTCCCCTGTTCACGCGGTCCCTCTCTCAGAAATAAATAAAACATTTTAAAAAATTACAAAAAAAAAAAAAGAAATGCTTTCCAAATGAATGAATATATACATAAGCAAGTGCTCAAAGAGGCTAAGAGCAGCTTTAAAACAAAGATCACACACTCCCCTACCCACAGACCTAATAATCTAGCCCCAGCAATATATTTGGTTTAATCTGTACAGTTTTTAAAATTTGAATCAGCTGAAGACTGTAGATACAGAGAATGCATTAGGATGAATAATCTCACCGAGAGGCCCAGGTTCCTGGTCGGCAGACTGCTACTCATGACTAGAAATGCCAAGCCGGCTCTATAGCCAAAGGGTATCAACTTTCTAGTACAAAGACAAGCTCACATACATCACAGTAGCAATTTGTTTATTCTGTCTTCCAATCTGCTTTGCTAAGGATTAACTGGCATACTCCTCAGCAAGAAAGTCCCTACAATACTTACCCACCGCCCTTGATGAGATTGAGATCAGCATCTACTTCATCAGCACCATCAATTGCGAGGTCAATCTGCATTGGGGGAAGGGAGGAAAGATACAGAAACTACTAAGAGCCTTTGGAAGCGAGGCTCTGTCCAAAGCTTGGACATGCAATAACTCATCAGATCCTTAGCAGCCCTATTAGCTAGTTTCAGTTGTTCCCTTTTAACCAGTCAAGAAACTGAGGCTCTGAGAGGTTAAGCTAGTCTACTAGGGTCACCAGGAAACAAATATGGGGCCAAGAAATCACACCTGGGTCCAGCTTTTACCCAGCTTTTAATTCCCTTTCCTTATTGATGGGCTTCTCTGTGGATGAGCTAGAATGATTTGAAAGTACACAACTCCAACATGGGGTGACATCACCCCTAAGAAAAGAAAAAGATACACAGTATGCCTACGGTTTAAAATTTCACTGAGGGTGGGGGGCATACCTGGGCGGCTAAGTCAGTTGAGCATCCAACTTTGGCTTGGGTCATTATCTTGGGGTTCATGGGTTGGAGCCCCACATCAGGCTCTATGCTGGCAGCTCAGAGCCTGGAGCCTGCTTCGGATTCTCTGTCTCCCTCTCTCTCTGCCCCTCCCTCACTCGCACTCTGTTTCTCTCTCTCAAAAATAAATAAAACATCTTTAAAAAAAACATAAATTTCACTGGAGAGGGGCAACAGATATAAGGCTGAGGAACACAAATTCAGAAGTCTCCATACTAGTGGCAAAAGGAAACGCAATTTCAAGCAGACACAAGAAAACCCAATGAACAGTTAAAAAGACATGATCTGCAATTGGAAATTAGCTGAAGCACCCACACTATGACCCCACCAAAGCACCTGGCAGGGCTTGTCCAGTCCCACTGTTAGGAAATGCCACCACCAATGCCAAGAGCAGTCAGGGGCAAAATAGGTTCATTTATCTTTCAAAACTTAAGATCAAGGAAGCTCTATATTTCTCTTCACTACTAACTCTCCATGGACAAGGCAGGAGCCTTAAGCCTGGTTATTTAAAGGAGCAGTATAAAAAACCCCAGGGTACAAATCAGTTTAAGTTGCCTGGCCTGGCACAGAAGTAAAGTGTCCAAAGCTTCAGCTTCACCGTGCTTCCATCCTTTCACAGCTCCCGCCCTCTGTCTGAAGAGATGGACTGCGCCACTTCTCCAGGGCCTGGAAGGCTGCAACCTTCTTTGTACGAGTTGCAGGCCCACCTTTGGCCCAAACCACCCTCCTCACAGTGCTGAACACAAATGCACACTGTGGCCTGCTCTGTCCACAGAAATCCCCCAGCAAGCTCTTCCCATGGTTCTTACCAACCCCTCTAAGGCCCACTTGTTCTGGAATGACACAGGCTAGAAGACCAGAGGCTCCTACGCAGTTTGGTCTGCACGCTGCCATAACCCCTCCCCCCTCTTGCAATCCAACCTTGCCCACTGTGCACCAATGCATTCCACCTACCCAGTCCTTACCACCCAGGCCAACCCAGGCACTGTCCACATAGGCTGCCTGGAACTGTGCTGGAGGCCAAGCCGGCTCCGGCAGGTCCAGGGGTCCCTGAAGGATGGATGGTGTCAGTGAGAGAGTGAGAGAGCCCAGAGATTCTTTCTGATCACCAGGCAGGCATCTCTGTCCTGTTGGTTTTGGTGTCTTTATTTAAAAGTTCAGAAACAACATGAAGTCAGAGAAAAGAATTTCTTACAATGGGAGGCCTTTTGTGATATCAACTGCAGAATTATTCCGACCAAGGAAATAAAAGAATGTTCTTAGTGAAAAATAGGATAACATACAAGTTAAATTGTATATAGATAAGCTAGGAGTCATTCTGTCTGGCTCTCAAGAGGATAAATGTTTCTGAATTGGCTTGTTTGTGGAAACTAACATGGGGGCCCTAAAAGTGTCAGTCTTTGCACCTGGGTTTATGTTTTAGCTACTCTTATCTATCCTCATCCCAGCTGCCAGTGTAAGGGAGGGTGTTTGTGGAATGTAGGCCTTGAGGAAGGGACTACTATGCGTCACCAATTAGCAAAGATATATGTAGTAACTATGTTCTGCCCTTAACCCCAAAATAGGCTATTTGTCTCCGGACCAGGCTCAATTGTAACTCTTGTGTTCTTAACCCCCTTTATCATCTAAGTCTTGGGTCTGCAAGGCCCATTGGAAGAGCCTTTTGACAATCACCCACAGAGCTTTCATCTAAAGTCTCTTTTGTAAAGGCAGGAGTATGCTTTTCCTTATGAGGTATCTGTGTTCAGAATATGGGTCTGATATGGAATACTGTGAGGCCTGGTCAATACCAGCAGGCTTATATCCAACATGAGCCAGTAGTAGCAGAAGGAGATACCAGTTTTCGTTTCTCATGGCAGGAGCTGCAAACACTGCCACTTCCCCGCTGCGACTGCCATCCAGAGAGGCCGGCATGGCTCCCGGCAGAACTGCTCCCGGAGTTCCCATCTATTCCTCTCTGGAATGCTCTCTCCTGCCCTGGCTTCCTCGCCTTCACAGTTCTGCTCAAACTTTACCTCTCCCCACAAACCCTTCCAGGTAGCATTGCTCCAGAGCCAGAAGCATCCAAATTCATATTTAAGCTCACTACCAGCTACAGAAGGTGTGGTTTTGGCAAATGGCTTGTCCTCTCTGTGTCTTTTACACGTCCATAAAATGGGATAATGATGGTATGCACCCTCAAGACTACTGGAGAGTAAGTAGTTTAATACAGGCCTAGCACTTAGCACAATACATGGTATACAAGAAGGCTCAGTAAATGCTAACTGTGAGTCTGCTGCTCACCCTCCTCAACTTCAGTCTCCTCTGTGTGTTTCACCAACTTTGCTGTAACACCTAACTGCAACTGTTTTCAAATGTCCATGGCCACCTCAGAAAATTACTTCTTCTCTCCACTTAGTGGTAAGCCCCATGGGCCGGCTCACTCTCACACTTCTGTACACGGACCACAGGAAGCCGTGGATCCAGCCCTGGGTTTGCGCAATCCCCCTTCACCACACTCATACTGAGCCCTCAGGGTTAACCACAGGGAATGTACCGGAAACTAACAACCTCTCCTCTCGTGATGTCAGCCAAATTTAACATTCAAAACCCCTGGAGAAAATGTAGCATGACTCACTGACCTTTCTCAGAGACTCAACAGGACATTGAGTCCATGAGCAAGTGACAGCCTTTAAAAAGACAGAAAGACAAAGCAGCCCAACTCTCTTACCTCTGGGTGTCGGTCCAGGTCACTGAGAGTTAAGCCATACTGCAAGATGAGCTGACGGGCCTATGGAGGACAGGAAAAAGCACCCATGATCATTTACTCTGAGCACGTGGAAAAGATTCTCAGCATTCTTTTAGATTTAAGTGTCAGACATGGAGTCCTAACCAAGGCTCTCTCCCAAATCCAACTGGGCCCACTAAGAGCAGGAGATCTAGCTCTATGAAGGGCAAAACTAAGCTAATTCATCCTGGGAGCCAGAAGGAGGCAAATAGCATATGGTGAAGATCCCGAGTGCCAGGCTAAGATTCCTCCTCTGTGACCTGCTATTTAAGACAATGCCATGGGGGCCCCTGGGCGGCTCAGTCAGTTGAGCATCCAACTCTTGACTTCAGCTCAGGTCATGATCCCCGGGTCATGGGATCAAGCCCCGCATGTGGCTCTGTGCTGAATGTGGACTCTGCTAAGATATTATCTCTCTCTCTCTTTCCTCCCCCCCCCCCCAATCCTTGGCCCCTACCCCACTAACACTCTCTCTAAAATAAAAAGAAGTTTTAAAAAAGACAATGCCATGGACTCCTAAAGCTTATGGTAATACAGTATTTAAAACAAAAAACAAAACAAAACAACAACAACAACAAAAACTTCCTAAAATAAGAACTGAATGAATAGAGTGATTTCCAGGCTATAATGTTGAATAAAAATAAGCAAAAAGGGTGTCTGGGTGCCTCAGTCAGTTAAGCATTCAACTCTTGATTTCGGCTCAGGTCATGATTTCACGGTTACTGGGATCAAACCCCGCGTTCGACTCCGAGCTGTCAGCCCAGCTGGGATTCTCTCTCTCCTGCCCCACACCCACTTGCATGCACGTGTGTGCACTCTCTCTCAAAATAAATAAACTGAAAACATAAACTTATGTTTAAAAATAAAAAATAAACAAAAGAATATACACACTCCATAGAGTGTATTAAAGGCAGGATGTTCAAGTGACTAAGCGAAGGGCTGAGCAAATGGAGGAGAACACCACACTGGGAGAGACCTGAGATTTACTTTATAGACATGCCTCATATTAACCTTTCAAAGAGGCCGACAAAAAAAAAAAAAAAAAAAGAGCAGTGATTACTGCTACCACGTGAGAGTCACAGCTGGAATAAATACACCTTGAATCTTCGAGTTTGACCACCCAAATCCAAGTGATAAGGATCTGTATTCATTGTATTCATGTCATTGCTTACCATAAGCAGAGGGACCAAAGGATAAAAAATTTTCTTCCAAAGGCATGTCTTGAAAATATTTTGTTTAAAATGAAAAACATCTGAGATTAAGAATCAGAAGGTCTCAACTCTACTCTTAAATGAACCAGCCACATGACCCTTGGCAAGTTTTCTTGCGATGGATGAAATGACCAATGTCAATCTTCAAATCCAAAATCCTAAGAGTCAAACCAAAAAAGATCCTGTAATTTGCAATATATGGTCCTTGTTGGGATCCTAAATAAATTAAAAAATATGTTTAAACGATAAGACAAGGGGAAATTTAAACCCTAAAGATTATTTTATGTTACCAAAGATTATTAAATTTTTTAGTATTAACAGATGTTTAAAAGCCTCCCTATTTTTCAAAGAGACATAATGAAATCGTTATGATGAAATTATACTATGACTGAATTTGTTTCAAAATCATCAAGGTGGGGTGCCTGGGTGGCTCAGTTGGTTGAGCATCTGTCTCTTGATTTTGGCTCATGTCATGATCTCATGGTTCATGGGATAGAGCCCTACACTGGGTCTATGCTGACAGAAGGGATCCTGCTTAGGATTCTCTCTCTCCCCTTCTCTCTGCCCCTGTTCTGCTTGCACGCCCAACTCTCTCTCTCTCTCAAAAATAAATAAAATTTAAAAAATAGTCAAGGTAGAGGAGAATGGGGTTCAGATTAAAAAAAACTGGGGCGCCTGGGTGGCTCAGTCGGTAAAGCGCCAACTTCTGCTCAGGTCATGATCCCACGGTTCATGGGTTCGAGCCCCTTGTCAGGCTCTGTGCTGACAGCTAGCTCAGAGCCTGGAGCCTGTTTCAGATTCTGTGTCTCCCTCTCTCTGACCCTCTCCTGCTCACGCTGTGTCTGTCTCTCTCTCTCAGAAATAAATAAAACATTAAAAAAAAGAAAAACAAATATTGTTTAAAAAAAAAACAAAAACTGACCATGAACTGGTGATTACTAATACTGGGTGATGGGTACATGAAAGTTCATTATGTGGTTCTTTATCCTTTTTGAAGTATGAAAATTTCCACATAAAAAGCTAAAATAAAATTCTTACTGAAAATAGCAAATTCAAAACAAAAATAACCCCATGATTCTGGGGCGCCTGGGTGGCTCAGTTGGTTAAATGTCTGATCTTGGTTTCAGCCCAGGTCATGATCTCGTGGTTTGTGAGTTCAAGCCCGGCAAGAGAATTCTTGGGATTCTCTCTACCCCTCCCCTGCTCTCTCTTGCTCTCTCTCTCTCTCAAAATAAATACATAATAAAAGGAGAAAACAATAAAAATGGTATTGGATAATTATTTCTCAGTTCCTATATGTCTCCAAAAGTAGTGCTGTAGAAAGCACCCTAATTCCAGACCCTGAAGCTGTAAGAACAATGGGAAAGTCTGGAAGGTAGCCCCTAAGATGACGATCCCCACCTCTTGGTCTTCATGCTTTTGGATAATCCCTGCCCACAAAGTCCCAGGGTTGGTCTGAGTGACAAATGGCATACAGCAAAGGCAATGCAAGATACTTCAGAGATTAGTTTATAAAGAATGCTGAGGGGTGGGTAAGGGTGGCACGCTCGACAAGATCCCTCCCTCTTCCCTCTGCCCCCTCTCTTATCACACACAGCAGGGGAAAAGTTGCCATGTCCTGGAGACACTAACAGAGGCCCTCCCAAACAGCCTGTGAAGGATGAAGGCCTGCGACACCCATGTGACAGAGCTTGGACACACATTTGGGTCTTGAGATGACCACAGCCCTGGCCAACAGCTTACCGGTAACCTCGTCAGAGACCGAAGCCTGGCCGCCTGGCTAACCCACTGTGGATTCCTGACCCTTCCTGACCCGTGGCAACTAGAGATAATAAATGTTTGTTGTTTTAAGCTGCTAAATTTAAGGGTAATTGCTTCCATAGCAACAGATATTGAACACAGATGGCGTTAGAAACCTGATATACAAACTGCACAGGGTTCAGGGTGATAGTCTCCCATGCACATACAACTGTGTGATGTACTATGATTTCCTAGTAACCTTATACACTTTAGAAAGAATATGAAACTGCATTCAGATATATCACATAGAAACTGGCTGTCAGGAAACTGGTCTACCAGAATTCCTAAGGAAAAAGTCCTGTACAAATATATCACTTTAATTTAACATTTCCTAAGCTCAAAGACTGCCTGCACCACTGGACAGTGTTACTATTCCATGAGGATGTCTTACTTGTCCATCTGGATTGTAATCAGAGTGTGAGAGAGCACATTTTCAACATCCTTGCTACCCAAGAGCAGTTAGCATCATTTGAGCCAATAGCTGGGTAAATAAGCAATCATTCTCAGTTCATTCTAGGAGTTACCTAGTGCAAACCCCTGTTTTAAGGAAGAAATGGATGCCCAGAGAGGTCACAGTGGTAAGTTAGGGACAGACTGAAGACCAGAAATAGTCTCCTGCCTTCCAGTCTTATCTAGGGACTAAGAAGGGAATCAGAAAAAAAGGAAAACAGAGAGAATGGTAAAAGAACAAGAAGCAGAGAGGACAGGCCCGTTTATAAATGGAATTGAAGTCATCTTATATAATAACATGCTATTAAAGATAACAATTTTAAAAGGAGTTCTTTGAGGTCTTGGCATTCCTCCTCCACCTTCTCCCAAACTCCAGCCCCACACATCCAGCTCAAATGTCATCCTTCCCGGGAAGCTCTCCCCAATTTGCTGGGCAAGGAGTAGGCTTTCCTTCCTCTAAAAGCCACATTATCTCTACTTCTCTACGATTTACTTATAAATAATGACACACATAAATGTAGCATTAATTCATCCAACAAACACATACAGAGTGCCTAAAAGCCAGACACCACACTGGGCACTGGAGATGGTGGCTCCCATGCATAGGAGCCTCATATCTGTATAATACTACGCACATCCTCAATGATCGCTATGTCCAACTGAATTCTGCCTCCTTACCACCACCACCAGCAGCCACCCATCTTAGTTCTCATCCAAAGTCCAGCACATAATGATGCATAGGGGCACATGGACCCCAATGTTTATAGCAGCGCTCTCAACAAGAGCTAAATTATGGAAAGCGCTTAAATGTCCATCAACTGACAAATGGATAAAGATGTGGTTTATCTATACAATGGAGTACTACTTGGCAATGAGAAAGAATGAAATCATGCCATCTGCAGCAACATGGATGGAACTGGAAAGCATTACGCTGAGTAAAATAAATCAGTCACAGGACAGATATCATATTATGTTTTCACTCAGTGGATCTTGAGAAACTTAACACCACAAGAGAGTCTTAAATCCAGAGAACAAACTGAGGGTGCATGGGGGTTGGGGGAGAGGGCAAAATGGGTGATGGGCAGTGAGGACGGCACTTGCTGGGATGAGCGCTGGGTGTTGTATATAAGCCAATTTGACAATAAATTATATTCATAAAAAATAAAAAAAAAAAAAGTCCAGCATATGAAAGAAACCCTGTAAATGTTGTATGGCTGGGAGGCCCCACCCCAACTCCTGCAAGCCATGGATCCCTCATCTGGGACAATAAGCAGTAATACAAGGACAGGATCTGTCCTAGCTTTAAACAGTCTACACCCCTGTCCAGATTGTGGAGAACTCTTGTACACTGACCTCAATAGTCACAGAGGTAGGACCGGCTCCCATCTGCAAGTCCTACAACTCTCCCTTCTCCCCATCTTTGACTGGACTCCCTATAGGTCCCCTGCGAGTGGCTCTGCACACACAAGACAGTCAGAGCCACAAACAACATGAACTTCCTGTTATGAGATGAACTGCGTTCCCCTGGGAAAAAAAAAAAAA